AGCACTCATGGACTCGGGCCCCAACAGGGCAACCACTTCTTCTGGTACCTTTCTCAGCCCTCGCAGCAACCATGGACCCAGGACCAGATCATGTAGATTCTTCTGCCTTCCCCCATAGCCCTCATCGACTAGGGCCCAGACAGTGTATCCCCTTTTTTGTCCACAAACACCCATGGACTCAGGCCCAAACAATGCCACTTCTCTCCCAGCACCTTTATCAGCCTCATAGCTGAAATGGCCACAGGTGTATACAATGTAGCCCCTTCTTCCGGCCCTCACAGCACTCAGGAACTCAGAGTCAAACAATATAACCACTTCTCCCAGGCCGTTTTTCAGCCCTCACAGCAATAATGGCCCTAGAACAGTAATGTAGCCCCTTTTCCCATTGGTTGCTGCACTCATTCACTTTGGAGCCGACCTGCAGCCACATCTATTTGCCCTCATAGCACAAGTGGATCTAGGCCCACACCGTGCGGCCCCTTCTCCAAGCCCATCTATTACCCGTGGACCCAGGCCCAGAACATGTAGCCCCTCTCCCAGTCCTTGCAGCACCTCTGTTTCCAGTCCGACTTTGCAGCCGGTTGTTCCAGCCCCTTGTCTCATGGTCCCAGGCCCAGACAATGTATTCCCTTCTCTCAGCGCACACAGTACCTCAGCCCTTGTTCCAGAGAATTCATCCCCTTTTACCAGCCTCACAGCACCCATGGGTCCAGGCTCAGATACTTTTCCCCGTAATCTCGCGTGTGTAAAATCCTAAAAGGACTGTAGCAAAGCCTGGTCTAGGAGGCAGTATTTGGGCTGCAGTCAGCGGATGTCTTGACGCGATGCACCTTTTATGGTTCCCAGGAAGCTCTTTTACCTCTGTTAACCCCAGGCACCTGTAATCCCAGCACCTCTGTTAACCCCAGGCACCTGTAATCCCAGCACCTCTGTTAACCCCAGGCACCTGTAATCCCAGCACAGGTTTTGAAGCTCGTGCTGTAAGTCTCTCTTCAATCCCATCAGACTGGTTTATGTTTTGAAGTCTTTCTTCCTCTGGGCCAAGGGAGAGTGGCAGATTCCCCTCTGCTCCCTTCAGAATGACAAGCTCAGAGAACAGCAGAGGAATCAGAAGTCATGCAAGATCAAGACACACCCCCAGCGGTCATGTCCTGGACGCTAAACCTTCCTTCTTCCCTTTGCTGACAAACCCCACTCTGTTCACGAGCGAGTTATATCACCATGCAAGATGTTCATTGATGCTTTTGTGACAGATGGGATGTTCAGTGTCAGTGGCTACAAGAAACATGGCTCTGCCCTCAGGCAGCCCACATCCTTTCGAAGAAGACAGAAGCTGGAAAACCACAACCACGGCAGATGGTGTTCTGGTCATGGCCCGGAAGGCAGGTGCAGCTGAGTCTGGGAAGGTGAAAGCCAAGATCCTGCACATGGAAAGGGTCACTGGGATAAAAACGGGAGCATCAGAGGGGTTTTGGAACAGGTCTTTAGAGACCCCACAAAAGCAGGGCACACTCTGAGAAGGGTTCTTTGCTTAGACTGCTGCTGGGAGAAGCCAGCTGCAGTGGGGCTGGGCGCTGCGATGATGGAGAATGCGGGGGGAGGCGACGGCTCCTGAATGTGATGGATTGCTCTCACTGTGCTGCAGTCCCCTCCTGCCTGGAAGGAAATGACTTAGAACAGGTTCTGAAATTCCAGCTGTCAAGCTGCGTTTGCTTGGGAGGGGCTTCTGCTCTCCTGGACGACCCTCGGGGAGTCCCAGCTGGCGTGTCCTGGCCAGACGCAGGCCCTAAGGCTCACTGCAGCTCCTCAGCCCAGCGTCAACTTCCCAGTCACCCATGGACCCTATGCTTCGTATCTCCCCAGGCACAACCTCGCACTCCCCACTCCTTGCCCTACACTCCTCTCTTCTGCAAAGTACAGGATTCTATCCACAACTCCAAGAAAAGCCATGCTGCTCCCTGCCACAAGACACCTGATGATCTCTCACCAGGAGGGCCAGACTGCCTCACCTGCAGGGGGCCAAGAGCCCGGGAAGTATGGCTCATTCTATGACTACAAAAGTGGAAAAAGGGACTGGATTGAAGGCACATCTCAGAGCAATTATGGCCAACTCTGCCCTGGAGGAAGTTCTTCTCCAGACAAGTGACTGCAGCCCTGACCAGGGGTAGCAGAGAGAACCTGTGGGGCAGACGGGCAAGGTATGAAGGCAGCTTAAGTGCAGGAATGTAGAGCATAAGTGTGCCTTCAGAAGGAGTCCGGCTCCTCTGCAGTTTGCCGGGTAGAGATGGCACTGTCAGGAAGGCATGGTGACCAAGCTGCACCATCCAGGCAGACTGCGGGGTCTATGTGCCATCTGATGGCCTGCTGCAATTAGGGTAGGCACGAAGACCCCAGAGCTTATCCACTGGAGTAAGCTGCAGTAGGAAGAGACACAATGTAAGATCTGGTGTCAGCATCCTCCACCGTAGGCAGGCCAGCCTAGGCAGAGAAGCCAGCAGGACGCAGTCCCTTCTGACATTATGCAGGCTTAAGTCACTTGGTGAGGCATGGCAAACCAACATGGTATGCTTCCTTCTTTTTTTTTTAATATTTTATTTAAAAGACAGTTACAGAGAAAGGAGACAGATCTTCCATCTGCCAGTTCGCTCCCCAAATGACCACAACGGCCAGAGCTGGGCAGGTCAGAAGCCAGGAGCTTCTTTTAGACCTCCCAAGTGGGTGCAGGGGACCAAGGACTTGGACCATCCTCTGCTGCTTTCCCAAGTGCATTAGCAGGGAGCAGCATTAGAATTGGTGCAGCTGGGAAACCATCTGGCTTTCCCATGGCACTGGAGGTGGAGGTGTAGCTTGAGACACCACAGTGCCAGTCCCAGCTTCTTTCTTTTCCCTGTTTCATGGGAAAAAGTTCCCCTAGGTCTCTGCCCACTGCCTGATACCTGGGCCTGTGCTGGGGCCTGGAGACAGAGCTTGCTGACTGCAGCTACCAGGAGCCCTGAGCGCTGGAGGGCAGAGACACAGAATCCTACCCTCTGATGGGAGTTTCCTTGGCGTTTCCACAGCAGGGCATTTGCATACATTTAACAAATACACGCCCTGTGAGGAAATTACACTGAAATATTGGTGTAAACACGTACTCCCAAGTCTTTAGTGCCTCATTTGTCAGGCACAAAAAAAAAGCTTTGGGACTGTTCTCCAGATTCGGCTTTGCATTTTGTTTTTCCCACTGAAATATCACAGTGGGCATATCCCAGGCTTGGAAAGCACAGGTGTTCCTTCAGGCTTTCTCTGTTAAGGCCAGGTCTTCCAAGTTTACTCATCCATGCACTCACTGATTCGGTGGCTATTTCCTGAGTACCTGCTGGTGGTCAGATGCTGCGTGCTGTGCTGTGCCTGGGAAGTTCGGTGGTGAGCAGGGCTCATGCTATAGGTTTCCTGAATGCTTTCCAAGCTGAACTCAGGATTCCTGGGGTCCCACCCTGGCCTGTCCCTCTGCCATCCAGATCCTAAGCAAACTGAGAGCAGAGTGTGTGTCCACCTGTGGCCCCTCCCCCCAGCATGGATTGTCCGTACTTTGCTGAGAGGTCAACAGAGCCTTGGAGTGGGCTTTGTTCCCCCTTCCCATCGTCCTGGTTGGGTGTTGAAAGGAGACAAGCTGTGCGGGGAAGTGCACGTGGGGAGTTTCTGAGGGCAGCGTTCTCCGAGACGTCCTTGAGCACAGGTGTTCCTGATCTACCACACTCTGACTGATGAGGCAGATCAGCGGTGAACGCCTGGCCGAAGGGCCTAGGAAGTGACCCGCTGCAGCCTGTTCAAGAGAGCTGTCGGTGACCAACACAGTCTCGAGGGGAATCCGAAAGTGATAAAAGATGAGAGTGATGAAGAGAGAAAGCTGCAGCGGTGTCAGAGACAAACCAAGAGAAGGGAGGAGACAAAAGACACGAAGAAGATGGATTCATGAACTTGGGTTTCTGTAAGCAGGAGCCTGCCGCATCACCAATACATTGAAGAGAAACACCACGGAGATGGTGCAGCAGGCTTAGCAGTGTGGCCACTAGAGATGCCAACATTCACAAACCCCATGTCTGTGCTAGTGCGGCTGTTCAGCTGCCCCTGCCATACTTTCCGCAGCCCAGTGACAGGCCCTGTCACCTGAGGGTGACTGCAATGTTTGCAATATCCGACACAGGAGAGTAGAATGGACATGAAAACACGCCTCCCACGAAAGCCCACCTCCCACGAAAGCTGGTGCTTCTCTAGCCCTGGAGTCGATAGTTACTTATTTACTTTTTGAAAATGTACTGATGGGAGAGGGAGACGCGTCTCCAGCTGCCTGGATTGGTTAGATGTGGGCGCAGGATGCATCTGCCAGTGCGAAGCTGGTCCAGGTTTTCCATGCCAGTGGCAGAAACCCAACCACTTGAGAGCCATCACTGCCACGCACCATGGTCTGCATTATCCAGAAGCTGGGAAAGGATCCAGAGGCTCTTCGGAACCCAAGAACTCTCACCGGGACACAGGTGTCTCAAGTGCTACACTAACATTTTAGAAACTCCTTACAGCAGAGGCCGCATCTGTCCCCTCTGCCTACGCATACTGGCTTACAGCGAACATAAAGTCCTGCCCAGGCATGGACCAATGATGTAAAAATGTGAAACGCATCACTGGCCTCAGCACTCTCGATCCAGGGAAGAGACTTTCTGGCGATTTCTTCTAAGCCCTGGGGGGTAACCACTATTGATCACAAACGTGGAGAGGTTTGAGGAGGGGAGTGCTGGACCAGCCGGCCATGTGATATCAGACAAGTTGCCTCTGACGTTCTCAGACATATGTAAGGCTGATGTATCCTAACAGTTGTGTGAATAAGCAAGCCACACCCATCTCCTGCAGCATGACTTTAAGAACTCTAGTTCTGCGAGGTGACGATGTGAGAACAAGGTCAGCACCTTTCACTGTACAGTCTTAGCTGCCTTCACGCATGGAGCTGTGAAAACCAGGCCCACCTTGCCAGCCAGGCTTGCAAACTGGCTTCACGTCCACCTGCACCAGCGTGTCCTGCGCAGCTGGCTTCTGTCCACAGTCGTAAGCCGTCACCAGGATCTCGTACTGGCGCTGCTTGTCGTAGCTCAACTTCTCGGTGTTCCTGATGTTGCCTGGGGATCAGGAATGCCCAGTTATTTTAGGCAATGTCGTCAACATCCCCTCTGCACCCCACCAACCTTCATGAGAATGCGAGGACTCTCCTCGTGAGATGAGGGCACACCTCCACCCGCCTCACTCTGCTGGTGGGCGCCAGCCCTGCTGTATGACGGGGCTGTAGAGGAATCCCATGGCTTGGGTGTTAAGTAACAAGTTGCCAGTAACCTCAAGCCCAGAGCTCACCCGTGTGTCCGCCATGGAGGAAACAGAGCTCATCTTGCACATTTATGGGGGAAAAAGATGGAGTTAGTACATCCTGACATACATTTTTTTAGCATCTAGGCTTGTTGCAGACATGCACACTGCCTCTTCTCCAAATAGGAAGCAAAATCAACAGGAAACATGTGACCTCCTTCTGGAAGCAATGCAGAATCATGAATTCTTTGCCCTAAAGAGGTATTTTTCTTCTTCAAGCGAGACCATTTTTTTTTTCACAAGCTAATATGTGCCTTCCTTTCTGTAGGTTTTATATTATCACTCAGAAATAAACATGGGATAATTAGTGAGTAAAATCTTAATGATTGCCTTTGCTGAAATAAATTTTGGATCCAAAGAAATAATAAAGATCAAAAGTTCATTGAACACTTTTATGTTTTTAATTCCAAGACATTAAAGCCTTCCTTTGCTGAGAATAATTTCATTTCAGCTTTTCTCTTCCTTTACAGTGGCGCTGACAGAAAATTAAAATTCAAATGATAGCATCTTTTACCTGAAGTGATATAAAGAAAATGGAAATTAGACAAATACACAAACACGGAATGATTGACTTTGGTGTCTTCATAGTCCCTCAAGACTAAAGGAAAATCACCTGAATGAGCGTTCCTCCATCTCAACGATGCGTAGTGTTTATACGCAACAACATGAAGACAAGAAAGTGTGAAAAACTAGAGAACCCAAATAATACTCGGGATAGGAAGGCGTTGATCCAGCAATCAGCCCGTACCAGTGAAAGAGTGGTCGCTGGGGGCATGAGCAGGTGCCTTTGAGGACAGACGTGTCCATCTGGGAGTCAGAGGGCAGGAGTGGTTGCAGAATCCCCCTGGATGCCAATAACCTAAGACTGCTCCAGTCTCTCACAGGAAATGCCACAGTTCGTACATCTACCGGATGCAATGCCCCTCTGTATGTCAGCCCATCTCCAGGCTACTTGCTACACTAAAGGCAATGAAAATGCTCTTACATACATACTGCATACACTGCTGTTCTGGAAATAAATTCAGGGCAGAATCACTGTTTTCTCAAATATTTTTCTTTTCTTTGTTCAAAGGCTGTGTGATGATGATCATCAGAAAGCAGGGGTGACAGAGGGGGAGTGACAACATAGAGAGATCTTTGTGCTGGTTCATTCCCCAAATGAACATAAAATCCAGGACTGTTCCAGGCCAGAGCCAGGAGCCGGGGCCAGGACTGTGCCAGACCAGAGTCAGGAGCCAGGGCCAGGACTGTGCCAGACCAGAGCCAGCAGCCAGAACCAGGACTGTGCCAGACCAGAGCCAGGAGCCAAGGCCAGGACTGAGCCAGACCAGAGCCAGCAGCCAGAGCCAGGAGCTGGGGCCTGGGCTGTTCCAGGCCAGAGCCAGGAGCCGGGGTTGGGGCTGTGCCAGGCCAGAGCCAGTAGCCAGGGGCCAGGACTGTGCCTGGCCAGAACCAGGAGCTGGGGCCTGGGCTGTGCCAGACCAGAGCCAGGAGCTGGGCCCAGGGCTGTGCCAGACCAGACCCAGGAGCCAGGGACAGGGCTGTTCCAGGCTAAAGGGGCTGTGCCAGGCCAGAGCCAGGAGCTGGGGTCAGGGCCATGCCAGGCCAGAATCAGGGATTCCAAGTATTTGGGTCCTTGTCTGATGCCTTCCCAGGCATGTGGGCAAGAGATTGGATCATAGTGAATGGCCCAGACTCGAACCAGCAGCAGCCCTTGAGATGTTTCCCATCCTGGCTGGGTCAGCCTGCAGAGGGGAGCCATGGACAGGGAGGGTGATCTTCTCTGTCAGCGTAAGGTGTGGGCCATGAGGGCTGAGGATGGAGGGAGGACAAGGAAGCTGCCGAGAACGAGAACAGTCCTTTGCTCTTGCAGCTCTGCACCGGGTCCACGGACTGAAGGCAGACTTCAGATTAGCAAAGTCAGTCCCCAATCTCCGAATGGAAACAGATTTAATGTATCTCTGGCTTTGTAGATGGTGTTCAAATCTCATTTCCCTATAAATATTGGCCTCAGCCTTGCTACTGAGGGCTTTCCCTGGCATGCAATCGTTCCGTTGGGGGCTGGAAAGGCTTCCCATAGCTCCGGGCAACACACTCGTGTGGCTGTGGTCAGTACAAGGAAGAATGCTGTTCAACTTTGAGAAGTGTGTTTCCACAACAACAAATTGAATTTTGGGCAGAAAGTTTTTTTTCTTTCTTTCTTTAAAGTTAAATGGCTCCCAAAAGATACACCTCCTGAAAAAGGAAGGCTCAGGGTTTACAATCCATGTGACTCTTACGTGGGCCAAACACTACAGATTGAGGTAGAAAAATAAACACTTAAGCTGAATCCTTGGCTCAGTTTGTTAGAGCTCCACTTTTGTAATAAGTCCTAATGAAACTGACTAAAGAACTATTTTCCCTTCACCGCAATCTGCAATTTCACGCGTGTGAAAACGGGGTCCGAAGCTCAGAATTGTGACCAAAGAGAAAAGTACGCTCCGTGACCAATTGGTGCGCTGGTGGTGGAAGTGGGGTCATATTTGGCTAAGACTCATTTTCAAAAACCCGTGAAAGCCCTGGAAAAGTTACTCAGGATGTGCGGTTACAGTGTGTGTGTGTGTGCGTGTTTTGGGCCCAACGTGATAGCCTAGTGCTTAAAGTCCTCGCCAGGATCCTATATGAGCTCCGGTTCGTGCCCCGGCTGCTCCACTTCCCATCCAGCTCCCTGCCTGTGGCCTGGGAAAGCAGTTGACAATGGCTAAAAGCCTTGGGATCCTGCACCCACGTGCGAGACCCAGAAGAAGCTCCTGGCTCCTGGATTCAGATTGCTTCAGTTCAGGCTGTTGTGGCCACTTGAGGAGTGAGTCAGTGGACAGAAGATTTTTCTGTTTCTTCTTTTCTCTGTAAATCTGCCTTTCTAGTTAAATAATAAATAAATCTTTTTAAAAAATCCATGTGTTTGGACCCGGTGCGATGGCGCAGTGGTTAAGGTCCTTGCCTTGCACGCCCGGGATCCCATATGGGCGCCAGTTCTATCCCGGCAGCCTCGCTTCCCTTCCAGCTCCCTGCCTGTGGCCCGGGAAAGCAGCAGAGGACGGCCCAAAGCTTTGGGACCTGCACCCGCGTGGGAGACCCAGAAAAGGCTCCTGGCTTCGGATCGGCATAGCATCGACCGTTGTGCTCACTTGGGAAGTGAATCATCGGACGGAAGATCTTCCTCTCTGTCTCTCCTCTCTGTATATCTGCGTTTCCAATAAAAAAATAATAATAAAAATAAATCTTTTAAAAAATCCATGTGTTTAAAAATATTATTTATATGTAAGACTATAGAGAGAAGAAAGAAGAGAGAGAAAGAAGAAATTGAGACAGAGAAGGAGAGAGATGTTCCATCCGCTGCTTCAGTCTGCAAGTACGGCCAGGGACAGGCCGGGTGGGAACCAGGAGCCAGAAGCTTCATTTGGATCCCCCAGGGGGGTCAAGCTCTTGAGCTATCCACCACTACATTTCCCAAGCCATTAGCACAAGCTGGATGGGAAGTGACGCAGCCGGGACACAACGCCTCACTATGTCAACAGTGCCGCCCCTACAGCTGTGTTTTTTCCCTTGCACATTTGGCCCATCTTTCACGACCATGAGTTCATAGTTAACCAAGATAAGCCCTGGGCAGTGAGATCATGTCTCCATTTCCAAATAAACTTAGAAAGCTCACCTTGAAAAGGATCAGTGTGTGTCTTACACGTCAACGTAGGTGTTCTTTAAAACTCAGAGTAGGAGATGAGCACACTGCCTGGCACTCTCCTTCTGGCAGTTGAAACTGAAATAGCCCTTCTAGAAAGTTCCTTTGCAATACATGCCAGTTGCTTTGAAACTGCTTATTCCTTTTGGGCAATGTACTTCATCAGGAAATCGATTCCAGGGAAATGACAGACCTGCAGGCATGTGTGCGAAGATGTTCATCTACGTCTTATTTACACGTCAAAGACGGACAGGAAGGGAAGAGTGAGGCATCCATGAAGAAGATGGGCTGCTGCTCAGCAGTGAGTGGTGCTTACAAAGGGCCTCGAGGGACGAGGAACCACACACAGAGAGAGTGTGAAGTGAGGAGGGTGTGAGCCCATCCTGTTCTGGCGATGTGGAAACCTGCTGGTGGGGAGCTGGGCAGGTCACAGGTCACTGGTGTCTCCCATGCTTTCCACGTTTCCACCTTTCCCACAGGGCGTGCACTGATCTGTGACTCAGATGTGAAAATAGCACTTTCCTTGACCTTCAGTTCAAGGTGACTGTGGGGCTCACTCCAGTGAGAAGCCTCGTGGCCTGTGAAGGCAGCCTTCACGTGGACAGGGTCCAGGTGAGTCCGAGTGACCACCGCACCCTCGGAATGCTAGCAGGTGTCACTGCGCTGTCACAGACAGGGTCCAGGGGTGTCTGAGTGACCACCGCACCCTCGGAATGCTAGCAGGTGTCACTGTGCTGTCACAGACAGGGTCCAGGGGACGCTCAGTGACCACCACACCCTCGGAATGCTAGCAGGTGTCACTGCGCCATCAACAGATCTGCTGCCCCTCTGCTGTCATTCCCAGCATGACTGAGTGGTTGGCTTGTGCTGGGTGCTCTGAGGACTGTGCTGGTTCTATACGAAAATCACACAAACACACACACGTACTGGATGCAGGGCTAAGACACACTTTGTGTTCCTTTCACTTTTATGCAAGTACAATTCATGAATAAATTTATATAAAGTACACAATGGGTACTTTTGCTGCTTCTGTGTTATGAA